ATAAATAAATAATTTTTTAATTAAATATAATATTTAAATTTATTGTTTAATAATTCTTATATTTTGAATTGATAATATATTATAAATTTTAATATGTAAATTAAATTATATTAATTATGGATAAAATAATAAATTATATTCAATTTTTACATATAAATATATTTTAACAATAAATATTTAAATATATAGAGGTTAGTTACGTGTACGTCTAACATCTGATAAATCTTCTATCCATGGTTCGAGAATTCATGGAGCAAGTTATTGCCTGAAATAAACATGGGAAAATTAAATGTAACAATTTTGCGATATTTAACTCGAGATGATTTTCGAGTTTTAACAGCGGTAATTATTTATTATTAATTATATGTGATTAAATTAAAAATATATTTTGAAACATAATTTTTATTTTATATACATGCATTACTGTATAAGGTTATATAAAAATTTTGAAATTTTATGTTTCGATAGATTCATATATGTTATCAAATTTTTTATTATTTTTAAATGTAGTTTATGTTATAATATTCTTTATAATTTTTAAAATTTTATTATAGAATAATTTATTATTGTAGATTGAAATGGGAATGAAGAATCATGAACTTGTTCCTGCATCATTAGCTGCTCAAATAGCAAATTTACGTTATGGCGGTGTGCATAAGTTATTGAAAGAACTATGCAAGCATAAACTTCTCAGTTATGAACGTGGAAAACATTGTTAGTTGAAAATTTAAGTAATATATTATTTTATGTTTAAATAATATAATTTATAATTAATATATAATAAAAAAAACAATAATAATAAAGTATTTATCTTTCTAGATGATGGTTATCGTTTAACAAATACTGGTTATGATTATTTAGCTTTGAAGGTTTTGGCACAAAGAGGTACTATTAATTCTTTTGGTAATCAAATTGGAGTGGGAAAAGAATCTAATATATATATAGTTGCAAATGATAATGGAAATCAAGTATGCTTGAAACTACATAGATTAGGAAGAACTTGTTTCAGAAATATTAAAGGTAAAAGAGATTATCATCAACACAGAAAATCAGCATCATGGTTATATCTATCTAGAATATCAGCAACAAGAGAATATGCATATATGAAAGCACTTTTTGATAGAGGATTTCCGGTACCTGAGCCAATTGATCTCAATAGACATTGTGTTGTTATGGAGCTGGTTGAAGGTGGACCTCTGTAATTGAAATTATTATTATATATTATATATTTTATATATTATTATATATTTTTTAATAATAAAATTTTTATATTTTTACATTTTTAATATTACATTATTCAATATTTTTATGAATTATGTTGATGTTCTAGATGTGGTGTATACAAGATAGATGATGTTGAATCATTATATGATGAATTAATGAATATGATTGTAAAACTTGGAAATCATGGTGTTATTCATGGAGATTTTAATGAATTTAATATTATGATAACAAACAGTGGAAAAGCAGTTCTTATTGATTTTCCACAAATGATTTCCACTGAGCATGTAGATGCTAAATTTTATTTCGAAAGAGATGTAAATTGTGTTCGTGATTTTTTTAAAAGACGTTTTGGTTATGAAAGCGAATTATACCCAATATTTGAAGATATTTTGTAAGTGATAATAAAAATTTAAAAGCAAATATTAGTAATGCAAGTTTTTGAGTTAAATCATGTAATTAAATTTATGTTTAGGAGAGAAGATTGTATAGATGTGGAAATTAAAGCTAGTGGTCTTACAAAACAAATGGAGAAGGATCTTTTGAGAGAAATGGGAATGATTGAAATTGAAGATGAAGAAATTGAGGAAGAATGTAAAGAGAATATGGATGAAGAAAATACAAGTATAAATAATAGTGAAATTAATAATTTAAGACTTCAAGTCGAGAATTCTATGAGAAGTGAATTTGCATGTACATCAGAGGAAATATTTCTAAATGCGATAACAAATGAAGAGAGAAATTTATTTGTATCATCTGCAGAAAATCGTATTATAACAGAAGGTGTTAAAAATATCGATATATATAATTCAAATGAAAATATGATAAATTCAAATTCGCATAATTTAAATGTGACAAATAATGAAGAAACGAATTCATTTTTTACTACAGAAACATTTAATTCAGATGATGAACATGTAGAAATAGAAAAATTAAGTGATTCCAAAAGTATATATAGTACTACTACAGCTGCCACAATTGCTCCTGAAATTATTAAAAAAAAAGTGAAAGCAGCTTTACAGAAACGTGAAAAAAGAGAGCAATCTAGAAGAATTCTTGTGAAAGGAGAGGCAAATGCAGTAACTAGAATTAGAAGGGAGAACAGGGATACAATTAAACAATCGACAGGAATATGGGGTTGGGAATAAAAATCATAATAATAATCACTTTTATATGATTATTATTCATTATAGATCATTTATTTGATGGAAAAAAAAAGAAATAATAAAAAGAAAAGAAAATAAAACAACAAAAAATAATACATATTAATATATTAATAAAGATTCAATCATTTTTATATTAACAGTAAGCTTTTTTCTTCCCAAAATTTGTTAAATTATAATTTATAATTTGAATATTTATAAAACTAATATTTTATAAATATAATTTTATATATTGTAAATTTTTTATTTAAAATATATAATTTGATTCAATAATTATTTATATATATATAAACATAACGTAAAGATAATAAAAGAAAAGGAAAATAAGATAAGAATAAATGAAATTTAAATTATTTAATATATTTAATAATATTGTAAGTTTATCAAATATGGGATGTATTAATTCTTGATAATATTTTTTTTTTTATAACATCTCGTATATAATCAAGCATATAGATATATTAAATATATATAAATTTACATAAGAGATATACGAAGATTTTAGTGTAGTAACTTATATAGATTTGTATGATTATACTTAGATATATTCTTTTTTTCTCTCTCTGATTATATAAATCTGTTACAGATAATAGTAATTATTTTTAATATAACGAATCACATAATTATATTTTCTTTCTCTGATTATATAAATCTATTACAAATATAATATAATAATAATTTTTAATATAACGAATCACATAATTATATATAAATTAATATATATTAATAGAACAAATTTAAAATAAAAATTAGAATGTTAATTATTTTCAAATACATTCAATCATATGTATGATATCGATATTTATGATATTTTATACATATAATAGATTCTTTCTTATTCGATTAATAATCGCTATAGAATAGATTATGATTTTTCTGTAGCAGTTATTGTGTTTTTATATGTCTTTATATGTTAATATATAATATTATATCTAGATTTTATTTATAAAAAATTTATTTATTGATATTATATATTTTTATTTATAATTAATATTATTTATAATCTATAAATAATATATTATATATTAATAACCGGTAATTCGATTTCGATTGAGTGTTAAGAGATGTACATATACATACATGTATATGTATAAACTAATTTGAGAAAAAGAAAAAAAAAGAAAAAGAGAAAAATTGTAATAAATATTTTCATATTTTAAAATTATATTTTTATTGAAATCTAACAAAGTAAACTTTAAAATTACTGTATAATTAATTTTATCTTTGTAAATATTCAGCTATATATAAATATTTGACCGTATATTTGTTTCTATTCTTAGCAAAGCTTTATTTGATAATTTTATTCATATAATAATAAGATTAAAAGAAATATATCATTTTAAGAAAAGAATATAGCATTTATACAAAATTTAACAGATAAAATGTGGTTTTTAATTTTTTGAATACAAAAATTGAAAGTTACTTAAAAATATCAGATAAATATTAATTTTATTTATATTTAAAAATCAATATTTATAATTATTTTAATAAATTTTTGGGAATTAAAATTAATATCAATATATCAACAAAAGTGAATATACATCGTTCATTTTCTTCATAAATTGTATTTCTAGATATTTCATATAATAAGATTTAATTTTGCTAGTATATACTTTAATTAATATTATATTTATGCATATGTTCGTAAAAATGAACAAGAAAACAAATGAATAAATAAATAATTAAATAAAAATAAAATATTTACGAACATTGTGATATCTTAAAGATAATAAACATGTTGCAGGATATTTCAGTAGAGGTTTTTTGAAAAAAAATTTTTTCAAGTAGCAGCGCATAACATTCAATTATCATATTAACATATTATTTTGTAATCAACGATCTTGAACTTTGAACTGAATTGACGAAAACTGATTCGAGTTTTCGCTTCCGGGTCATTCGATTCGAAAAGAAATAGTTTCAAACGAAAGATCGAGTGTTGAATGTTTTGTATGTAAATTTTCGAAAAAAAAAAAGAAAAAAAAGAAAAAAAGGAAAAAGAAAGGGGAAAGATTTTTCAATAAAAATGCAAAATGAAATAAAAGTAGCATTTAATGTGAAAATTTGCCGAGACACATCCATATTTTTTTCTGTAAAAATAAAAATGATTACAGGGTACGGATGATAAGGTAGCTCGTATGTGGCGATTGCGAGAGACTGCTTATATATAAAGTCGCGCGAGCTCTTCTTTTCTAGTTCGAGTTTCATTTCAGTGCTCCTCTGTTAAATATTCCTGATACCGGGAGACCACTTCTATAAAGTGTTTTTGTTTCTGTATTGCCCAAACGCGATATCTTAGCATGGCCAAGGACAATTTGACAGCTATCCTTTATGGTATCAACGATATTAGATTGGTCAGTATTGCAAATTTTTATATCCTTCATCCCTGTTTTCAACTTTTTCATCCCGATGATAAACGTCTTTTTATATGATAAATCGATTTTAACGCGTCTCTGAAGCATAAAGTGCGATATACGACTCGGAATAAAGTACTTACATACATATGCATATACAGTTGATGATGAAAGTATTTGACCGCATTATTTGATACGGTCTTACGTAAAAAATTATATCGTGTCATTAAGAAAGAAACTTGAAATTTAATGTTTGATAAACTGATTTACTATTTTATTCTGTTTTACTATCGTTTTAAGATAAAATTGTAATGTAAAGATAAATTTTTTGTTGAAGAACAGGACGAGGAAAGTGAAATACTTCTGCAATCAACTGTACGTATCTGTACATATATTTCCTTAAGAAATAAGAATAAATAATTGTTCATAATCATAGATGTAATTACGACTTGTTTATATAAAATTTATTAATGAAATATTTGTTATTAATGAAAATATTTTGATCTCTTCTTCTCATATGTTATCTTTTCTTTCGATGATTATAAAAATGCGCCGTTTACATCACAGTTCACCTTAGTTACGGTTAATGGGGAAAAAAAAAGAAAAGAAAAGAAAAGAAAATACGGAAACACAGGAATGAAAAAAGAGAGAAACGTAAACGATATTACGAGACGAATTCACGGCGTGTTTTGAAGAGGCGATTTAGCTTAACTCCTTTGTTTCCTGTCCTATCAATTGAAATTGCCGTTAATACGATTAACATTTAGAACGTCAGAGACGGGACGTCGGTGTACGTCGGTACTTGCAAGGTTGACAGAGTTCGCCATTTTCGTCATTATTCCTTCTCTGGTTATTTGCGATTACCAATCTGTTCCGCGTTACCTATATAGAACAAGCGTCTATTCTGATGTTACGTTGCCTCATAGATGGGTGAAAATATGATTTCTGGATTTGTTAAAATTTTTTTTTGCAAAATTTTCTCTCTTCTTTTTTCTCTCTCTAAGAAAAAGATTCTCGCGATTCGAGAATTCAAAATTTTTTGGATTTCGAAGAAGAGATTTCAAGTGTTCTCAATTCCTTTTAATCTTATATCTAGAAATAAAAATTTTATTACAATTTAAATGGAAATATAGTATTTATTCCTTATTTATTTTTATCGAATATAATTATATGTATTTATATATTTAATTATTAGATAAATTATTGTGATTAAGTTTATTGTTAAAAAAAAAAAAAAACAGAATTAAGAAAATGAAATTTTAATGAAATTATATCATAATATTCATATCTAATCTTCTATGACGTTTTCGCATTTTATTAAAATAGATACTTAATTAAACATATATATGATAAGCATCTTAATTCTATTTCATGAAAAACACTTCAAAACTTAAACTTTTTTGAAAATATGATATATAGATATGTTATCATTATATACATTATATATTTAATTTTTATAACTTTATAACTTTATATTTTTATAACTATTTTTTATAACTTTATCATTTTTTTTTTTTCTTTAATTTTAGGAACAAACTCCGATCGAGGAACCAAGCCAGGATGGTAAGCTGCTTTCAGTTTCGATCAATGATAATATACGATACAAGGATATAAGAAAAAACGAATATTTAGTTCAATTGTTTTCTTCGTCACATCATGAAATAAGATTTTTAATAATAAAAGATAAAATTTTTATTGAAATTATCATTAATAATATTTATTTTCATAAGCAACTTAAATCAAAGAAATTGTGATGTAGATATAATTTTTCAACAATTGGTTCTCTTTCAGAGGTGCTCATTCAAATGGGCTGCGTTGGAATTTGTGGGTCTGACGTTCATTATTTGGTGAACGGAAGAATCGGTGATTTTGTAGTGCGTGAACCTATGATAATGGGCCACGAGTCTTCCGGAGTGGTCGTCAAACTTGGAAAGGATGTAAAAAATTTGAAGGTATGCACGTCTAATATATGTTGGCATTAGATTTTTTTAATTTAAAACCAAATTTTTATTAACGTAATTGAAGAAACAAATTCGTTTTATTCATTCAAATATCATAAGATTTATTTTATGACTTTTTGCATATCACGTGTATTCTAGTAGATTTTTATTTTGATTAAAAATTAAAATTTTCCATAATAAATATATAAATTCTCAATCTATGTATCATTACATGATTTCGAAATAGTTATTTTGCATCTAAGATATTGTAATGTGAAATCGAGAAATTATTATTGGTGTCGATATCAATGTATGCTCTACTTATATAATTATCTATATGTATATAGGATTATACTTTGCAATTATTCGTTGCATGGGTAAAATAATCTCTATAAAATTTTTTATCACATAAATACGATAAAAAAATTTATTGAGATATATGTTCCAATTGAAATAAATATGATAAAAATTATCATACATATACGGCAATAGTATTATTCACGAAATAAAAATTATTTAGATAATTTGGAGATAGTATGATAAATATGACATATATTGTTTATTGCTTCTACTACATCTATTAAATTTAATTAAATAATTATTCATATGAAATATACATACATTATATCTCTTTTTATTCATTTTGGAATTCTATATCACGAGACTACATATTTAATTACAATAATAATTTTATAATGTTTTAATTTTAACATATAAGGTCGGCGACAGAGTGGCCATCGAACCTGGAGTATCTTGTAGATATTGCAAGTTTTGTAAGGAAGGACGTTACAACTTGTGCAAAGAAATGGTATTTTGCGCTACTCCTCCAGTACATGGTAGCCTGAGACGTTTCTACAAACATGCCGCTGATTTTTGCTTCAAGTAAGTCAACGTCTTTCACTTTCCTCCCTTCTCTTTCTCCGTCATGCGCAATACGACGAATTTAATTTACACGAAGAAAAACGTTTCTAACCGTGAAAATTATTGGTTTACATCACAGATTACCGGATCACGTGTCATTGGCTGAAGGAGCATTGTTGGAACCGTTGTCGGTCGGTGTTCATGCTTGCAAACGTGCGAATATTGGCATCGGTTCAAAAGTTTTAATTTTGGGAGCCGGACCTATCGGTTTGGTATCGTTATTAGTAGCAAAAGCTATGGGAGCTAGTAAAATTGTTATTACCGGTATGTTTCTTTTTATCTCACTCTTTTATCTCAATCCTATTTGAGTTGTGATTCCTTTTTGTAATATTAAAATAATTTATTTCTATGGGTGGGAAATTAAGAAAGTTAATTAGAGAGGATGTTCAATTTTTATTAAAATAATTATTTATTAAAATAAATAAATGTTAAAAATTATTAAGTAAAATTAAAAACCATTGTTCAATTCCAATGAGATATATAGATAAAGAAATAAATAAATAATAAGATTATTTTATTAATTGTTTGAATTGGATCTAAACACTAATAAGTCCAATAAAACGATTAAAATTTATTATATAGTTATCAATATAGATATTATATATAGATATTCGCAATCTAAAAATACGAATCTATTTTTCCCTTTTTTAGATCTGATGCAAAGTAGATTAGATCTTGCAAAACAACTCGGTGCTAACGAAACGTTATTGATAAAAAAAGATGATGTAGAGGAAAAGACTGTGCAAAAAATTATCGAACTTTTTGGAGAAGAACCGGACAAGACTATCGATGCTTGTGGAGCTGAGTCTTCGATACGCTTAGCAATTTTCGTAAGTTTTTTTTTCAAAAAATTCAAAAAATATAAGAATTATTTTATTGTACGAGTTATTAATTAAATAAAATATATTTATTATATTTTATGTATATAATTTTTAGGCGACTAAATCCGGCGGAGTAGCTGTTTTAGTAGGAATGGGCCCACCAGAAGTTCGTGTTCCATTGATAAATGCACTCATAAGAGAAGTTGATATTAGAGGTGTATTTCGATACGCAAACGAGTACGTACTAAGTTTTTTTTTTTTCCATTTCTTATAAATAAAAGAAGAGATATATCTTTGTTCCAATCTCATTGTTGATTCATACTAATTTAAATTTTTAATTTACTTTATTAAATGCTATGCACGTAAGTAACATTCATGTGTCAGTCATCATATAATACATTCTCGCCTGTCGTTTGTTTAACGAGATTTGTTTAAGAGAGGAAAAATTACTAAAGATACATTTTTAGTAATTTCAGTACTCTATTTAAATTTTTAAAGCGACATGGAGATAATAGAATAACGTAAGAATATTTCTTTGTATCCAATATTCAATATGTTGTTACATTCATATCAATTATATCAATGAATATAATTTTAAATAATATTTTCCATTCTATTTTTCTTCAGTTATGCCGACGCATTGGATCTCTTGGCTTCCCGAAAAATAGACGTGAAACCATTGATAACGCACAATTATAAATTAGAAGACACTGTTCAAGCTTTCGAGACTTCGAAGTCGGGCCAGAATGTTGTCAAAGTTATGATACATTGCAATTAGAAAAGTAAAAATGACGAACGAAAAGGAATTATGACATGATCCAGTGATATATGTATATGAGAATTAATTTAACGAAAAATAAGCGATATATTCATTATTAATATGAAAGATAGAGGATTTGACAATACATTTATGTCTTTAAATGACATTTTTATTGGATATATTTACAAAACATGAAATGTTTTGTGGATTTTTAAGGTTAACGATGAATAATTCACGCTTAATATGCGTGTTTAATTATGCGTTTTGTGCATGTATATATTTTTTGACATATATTGTGTTGCATACACGCGGCAGGCACGCGTAGGCATAAATTGCCAATCTATTTTAACATTTGACATTGATGTAAATATGCATACGTAGATTTTGTTTTTTTTATGATTCAATTATACAAACTGTGTGTATTGTAATGAGAATGCTGCGTAGTATAGTTTGCGTTTTATTTTTAAAATATTAACTATACAATCGTCACTAATAATCTTTAAATTTTTATATTCAATGCGATTTTACCGTGTGATGTACATTTATCATTTTATTGTAAAACTTATGAATAATATTATGATAAGAAAATACATATGTCGCTGTGTTGTGATCAATATATTATGATACAATTTAACATCGAAATTTAATGGAAATTTTCATACATATGTAGTATACGTAAACGATAATTCGCTAATAATAATATATAGTATAAAATACATATATTCGTATTATATATTGTAAATATGTAATACATATATTTTTCATCTTTCAAGAAGTAAATGGTTGTGAATGAATCAAATATCTATTGCATGATATTTTTTTATTGTTCATTATCAATCATTATTATCTATGTATAAAGATGAATAAATTATATACCTTATTCCCTTTACTTGAATGAAATAAATTTAATGTTTATTCGAATAATTAAGATTTCTATAAATAGATGAAAAAGAATAAAATTTTATTATCTATAATTAGTGATTAACATTGTGCTTTAAGATAAAAAAAAAAAA